TACAAAGCCATGTGACCTGCTCTGATAAAGGGATTGAAAATGCTCTTGAGAACAGCAATCAGTGTGTAAAATGTAATAGTTACCTGATTTTCTCTGATCTCGGTACGTTTAGCTTCTTGTTCCAGTGTGATCAAATGCTTTTCCATTACAAAAGTGTCTCGATCGTGCTGCTGCTGGGATAAAAGGCGAGCCTTTTCAACACGTTGCACCCCTATTTCCCGGCCAAGTGCGTCGAGGCGTTCACGGCCCTCGTTTATCTGAATTGAGTGAGTATTTTTTAAAACAACATAAACTAAGGAAAAAGATTTAGCAGACAACATCGTCAAATGAAGTCTGTAAGATGATAAAGGAGTAATTAAGAGTAGGAATTGAATAACGATCAAACTATAAATTTAAATGAGTTTAATAAATCTGTTAATAATCAAAATCCGTCAGCCAAAAAATTGGTATGCGCTTTACTTTTTCGTACACAGCCTTTAGTTCATCGTGAATCAATCAACAAGTATGAATGTACTTTCAGTCTTTTTAACGAGCCGGATTAATGCTGATGAATGGATATTTAGTCTTTCAGTAAGCCATAATTAAATTGCGCGGAACCATTTCATTCAAAACGAGAACTGTCGTCCTCAGGTTTGGAATGCCTTCGAGATTCTGTAAGCTTCACTTTCGAGGTCAGAAGGAAACTAAAGAATGAAGCTTCTCAAAGCAACGATAAAACCTCCCTCTATACATGTATAAATCTAGACATTTACGAAAGCCAGCAGTAAAGAAACAAATTCTGATAATCCAAATGAAGGAAGGGAAACTTGCACAACTGTCCAGTTTAATCGCTTATTAAGATCCCTCGTTATCGAAATCCAAGAGCCTTTAGTAAATTTCGGTAATTTATGGTAAAATAAAATATACTGGTAAATCGGTATTACCTAAGGCCAGAATATTGTAAGAATAAAGTTAAAATTAGTTCTGGTAAATTGGTAATGATCTAAATAGATTCATTACAATAATCTAAATAAATTTATTACAATGATCTAAATAGCATAGTTTAATGTTTATATAACATCTGAATAGGAAATGAATTAACCATTCTCTTTGCCTTATATATATATATATATAATATGTACGCAGTAGAATGGTAGGTAGTGAATAAAAGGCGTCAGAAAAGAGAGAATTAATTAAATCACCA